TTGAGGAGGCACCAGTAACATGAAAGGCTGGTGAATTTTTACAGTGGAGAACACAGGGAAAATTAGGACGGCTGCCCCTAGATCAGCCTGATCCTGCTAAGATCAGACCTGTACTCCTAACCATGAAGGGAAATGGATTTCTGAGGGAAGTGACAACCAGCCATCTGGTCCAGAGAACCTGCCTTAAATGGCATGGATTCCCTGGGAGAGCAGCAAGCCAATCAAGGCAAGGTCCGTTCCCCGGTGGTCTTGCTCTGCAGTGGGAAACCCATTCCAGGGGGCTGGGGCCCTCACTAGCTTTCCTCACAGAGTCAGGACGCAGGGCACAAGAACACGAACCCTTCCCTCTCTCCAAGTCCTGGCAAGACAGGTAGACAGGTGGGGTGGTTTCTAAAAGCAGAATGGCCTGCAGTCCAGCAGTCCTGAGATAGATTCTACACCAGATGTCTGCACAGCTTAGAATTCCCCAAACTTCAGGGCCGCTCAGACTTCCTACTCCTCTTGGCATAATTTTCAAATATTAAACGTGAGCGGGTGGTTCGGGGAGTCACAGCGAACGAGGGGTCCTGTGCCATTTAGTGGGCCAGGGACGATGGTACTGCATCTGTGAGGCTCTGAGTTCAGTCCCCCAGGACAGAAAGGGAGGAAGGAAGGGAGGGAAGGAGGGAGGGAGGGAGGGAGGGAGGGATTTTCCTCTTCAGGCCAAAGTGAAGTTTATCTGTCAGTGATTGTTGGTTAGCAGTAATTCTTTTCATTTCAACATAAAAGAAACATCACCTTTTCCTCTCTGGCCTAAGGAGTTAATATAATCAAAACCAAGAAACGATGACAGTCTAGGATTCCCAGGAAAGATCAAAAAGCTGGCAAGGGAAACAAATTGTCTTCAATACATGGATGCCAAGCAATCTGCCCTTCAAATAAACTCAAATGGCCAAATGGCATCCCCCCACTTCCCAGCTCACCAGCACCGAAGTTAGAGTTTCTGAAGCACCCAGAGTTTTACCCTTATCGCTGATAAGGAGAGATTTGGGGATGGCCAATACTGAATCTTAGGGGATAGTTAATGAGATGATTGATGTCTTAGGATTAAAATTTCTAAGAGATATTTAATTACTTGTATTTATTTTACCTTGGACAGAAAAATGTCCTGCACAACTTTGGGCTTTAGGGACCTATTTTACTAAAAGAAAATTTTGTCAGTATATAAGTTTGAACTCAACAGAATATTGTGCCACTCGAACCATGCCTCAGCTTTTCTTCACATTATTATGCTTTATGTCCAAGTCACAATCCACCTACTTATGCTTCCTGCATAGATGAAAGGGAGCCTCACAAATTTCACCTGGAACCATCTTGCCTCCTAGATAACTGGGATTACAGGAGTAAGAATCCATGCCCAACTTTCTGTTGGTTAAAATAGGGTCTTGTGAACGTTTTCCTGGGCTGGTCTTAAACTAAATCTTCCAGATCTCAAGTGGCTGGGGCTACAGTACAGGCATCACCCACCAGGGTCTGGTTTGGGGCTAGCCTTGAGCTGAAGAGCTGAGAGACAGTGCCCAGGCTGAGTTCAGGCCCCATGACTGGCAAAAAAAAAAAAGAAAAGAAAATGTGGAAATGAAGGGTGAAAATTAACATCTGAGTTTTAACTACCTTTGACATTTCCCAGCATAAAACTTCCTGTGCCCGAACTGTAGTAAGGAATGACAGGGTATTCTAATCTCCAGTGAACAAGCCAAAAGCCAGAAGTAGGGTCATGGCTCAAGTGGTAGAACATTAGCCTTGAACAAAAAAACTCAAGGACAGTGACCAGGCCCTGAGCTCAAGCCCAGGATAAGCAATAATTCAGATAGATAGCTCAGCAGGCCCTGGGGTTTTTTCTGTTTTCCTTTTTTTTTTTTTGGGTCCAGTCGTGGGGCCTGAACTCTGGGCCTGGGCACTGTCCCTCAGCTCTTCAGCTCAAGGCTAGCGTTCTACCACTTGAGCCACAGCGCCACTTCCGGCTTTTTTCTTATGTGGTGCTGAGGAATCGAACCCAGGGCCTCCAAGGCAAGCACTCTACCACTGAGCCACCTTCCCAGCTCCTCTGTTTTCCTTTTTTTTGGAGCCATGATCCCAGATCTCAGCCTTGTGAGTAGCTAGGATTACAGGCATGAGCCACCGGCACCCAGCTTAAACATTCTTCCTTAAAAGCCTTGTAAGTATCTGCATCCACATTGACATTTGGTCACAACTGATGGTCTGTTAAATATTACTAGTAAATTTTCTAAAACAATGTACAGACAGTTTTTTAATGTTAAATGAATAAGAAAACCATAAAAATTTACTAATCCCAACCAGTTATTTAATTTCCTAATTTCAGATAATGCATTTAAACTTCGTGAGAGATATGAAGGAATGGTTATCTTAATGCTCTAGGTTGAAGGGCCTGATTAGAAATATAAAAAGGATCCACACTGAAGGGGGTGACCTAGTTAACACTCACACAGAGGTATAGCTTTCCCTCCAAGCCATCACAACTCAAATGGCCGACATTTAAATACAGACTTGGAAAATACAGGGAAACAAACTCTAGAACCCTAAGAGCAATAACCGAATACCGTTTGCAGAGCCTGCCGGGCTCAGGGGGGTGGAAATGGGGGCGGGGGGAAGGTGGCTCAATGGAAGAGCGCTTGCCTAGCATGCATGAAGCCCTGGGTTCCATTCCTCAGTACCACATACACAGAAAAAGCCAGAAATGGTGCTGTGGCTCAAGTGGTAGAGTGCTAGCCTTGAGCAAAAGCAGCTCAGGGACAGTACCCAGGCCCTAAGTTGAAGCCCCAGAACTGGCAAAAAAAAAAAAAAAAAGTAGGGGAAAGCGGGGGGGGGGGGGGGGGGGGGGGGGAGGAGAGAGAAAACATAATCCATCACACAGAACAGAACTTCAGGTTGAAGGAAGTCTTCAAAATCTAGCATCTAACAGCTTGTCTCTATCTGCTGTCACTCCAGATCAGAGCACTAATTCCCCCTGTTGTCTCTCCCCTACCCCTTCAGTTACACTTGAGCTCTCTGACTGAAAAGGTCTGGAACAGATTAAAAGCCCAGCCACAAAATAAAGAGCACTGGCATGCTGACAAGCCTGTCTGGGACACACATCCACAGTGGGCCCAGAAAGGGGAACGAGGCAGGAAGAGAATTTCATGAGACTTTTTTGGCACATCTAATCATAAGCTTGTGTGTGCATGTGTGTTTCAGAGGTAGGAGTGGTTTTGTTTTTGTTTTTTTGGTTTTTACTGTTTCACTGAAAACATGTCTTTAAAAATCTTAAATCCTGATCTCAGCAAAGAGTCAATCATTTTTCATGAGCTTAAAATTTCCACAATGCAGATGAGTTGAATTCGTTTCATTAAAAATGACCCCAAGAAGCCTGGCCTCCGTCACCCCAGTCCTCAGAACTAATGGCAACATTTATTAAATTTCCCACCTCTCACGGGCTCCTATTTCAACCACAAGGCCTTATTCAAATATTAAAATAGGACCTGAAGTTGTGAATTATTAACATGCCACATTACCTTTTATTTTTAACCCTCAAACAGGTCTGGAAGCCTAAAAGACGCGTTTAAGCCAAACTGGTTATCTGTCAAAATAACCATCTCTGCCCAGGACCAACTTTGATTTTACTTTGCATTTTAGATTCACACATTAATCCATAAAGTTGACATTTGAGGCAAACAACACAAGTACTGTTTGGTTGAACTTTTCTGTTTTTTGTTTTTGTTTTTTTTTTGGTTGGTCGTGGGGCTTGAACTCTGGGTCTGGGCCTGGGCCTGGTCCCTCAGCTCTTCACCTCAAAGTGAGTACTCTACTACCTGAGCAACAGCGCCACTTCTGGTTTTTTTGATGGTTCACTGGAGATAAGAGTCTTAGGGACTTTCCTGCACTGGCTGGCTTTGAACCACGATGCTCAGATCTTAGCCTCCTGAGTGGCTAGGATGACAGATGTGAGCCGCCAGTGCCCACGTTGTTTTTTCTCGAGGTAGACCCAAGAGGCAGAATGGTTCCTAGGACTGCTGACGGGGAAGTTACTTGGTGTAGCCGCTCTATATGGTTATTTCTGCTTTCCGCGAGGCATGCGGGAGATTGCATCCGCAGAGTTAACTCCTCTCCCCTGTAAGGCCCACGGAGGCTGCGAGGTCAGCCTCAGGAGGCTTCAAGCGTCCCGGAGCCTGACCCACTGTGTGATCGATGTTGCACATGGTTTCAGTTAGCTGCGTCTAGCTCAAGACGACAGCTTCAAAACCACAGTTTTTAGATTCATTTTCCATGGCTTTGGAAAAAGATCCCAGAAACCCAACTGAGGAGACTGAAACAGTGCAAAAATATATACTATGGATAAAAAGGCACAGAGATCCTTAGGCACGCTTATGAAATAAACATGCACGCTCTGCTTTGTGCAAGGTACAATCATTTAGCCATGCAATGTGACAGGAACCTAGCTTACTTTTTTGCTTCCTACATTTTTTAAAAGGGAAGGGGCCTTTGCAATGGAGGGAAAAAACCCAACAAGTGTGAGGGGATGCTTCCTTTGGACCATTTCTAAAGTCAAGGGCTGCCCCACCCCGCTACCACCTAGAGCGGGACCTCGCTTCACCATTCATCACCAGCCCTGGATGGTGCTCATCCCTCTGAGTTAAGGCCAGGTCATTGAAAGCCAGTATTCCAGGTTTTCCATGTCACCCAACAGCCTGGTTTTGTACAAGGTCTCTGTGCTTCCCACACAACCAAGAGGAGCAGGGATTCTGGTCTGTCAGCTGTTACAACATCCCCCTCTCCGCCCAGACTGACAAGCCGACTTAGAGCTCAGTGTCTCAAGTTTAAATGAAGAGGTTTGGAAAAAAACAAAACAAAACAGTACTTGGGAAAGTTGGAAAGGCAGTCATTTTGTAGAACTACATAACTATGTAACCACATTTAAACGCACTTTCCAAAATTCACACACTCAAGAATTTGAAATGAACCTTTACCAAAGCGAGGGTCAATCCTGGGGTCCAGCCAGGAGGTGGTCTTGTCCTTGTGGTTGATGTAGTAAATCTCTCCATCCTGAGTGGTGGCTTGCTCCCAGCCGTCAGGTAGAGGGCCTGTAACACCAGAGGAAAAGAATCATGGTTAGTTTTCCATTATTGTTACCTAAAAACAGGGAAGGGTGCAAATTTAAACACAAAACACCTCTAGACGCACAACAATGCAAGGGACAGATTTTACCTTGTATTCAGAGGAAAGATACACATATATACCTGATTTTTCTCAGAGAGGAAACCGAAGAACAATAAAACCCACATCCCCCAAAGACACAAACAAAAACCACACTTCACTTATGACTGCCACGTTCCTCTTATTTCTACTAGGTATGTGACTGGCCCCCACCCACCAAGAAAACTGCAATACACTATCATTCCCCACCCCCAAAAACTTAGTGGAGATGGTGGGAAGTGGGTCTGTGGATAGAATTTTCAGCTTGCTGGAGTGTGGGAGACGGGCATCGAACAGGAAAGTTTTGCAAGGCAAGTGTCTCAAGAAGTGAAAGGAGGTGCCATTTTGAGGCTACAGAATAAGATAAAATGGACAGTTAGCACTTGGGAGTATTTTTCTACTTTCATGAGGATGCGGAAGCCAGGTGATTGGTTTCAGGGAGATGAGGTCCAAAATAACGAAGCATTGGGACACTCCCACCAGAAACACGGAGCCCTGAAACTGGACAGTAGCACTGCTTCTACCCTTGTGAAAATGGCCCAAGTTTAAAACGATTTTGAAAGCCGCATTCACCACTTAAGAACGCCAAACTCCTAAGACACACATGTGACTACCCCATGGGCATGTCCATAGCAGCCCGGGTTCAATCCCAGGACGCCAATAACCCTAGCTGCTTCCAGGCTGGGGTGGGGAAGATCCCAGTTCAAGACCAAGCTGGCGATTCATGCAAGATCTGTCAGCCAGCAGCAGGGGCGCTGAGCTGCCGCCGCCATCCCAACATGGGAGCGTAAGAGCAGAGATGTCTCCACACTCTCTCTCTACAGAGCTGGATGTGGGGCTGCGTGTGGAGCCTGTTGTCCCAGCGAAGAATTAGCCCTGCACAGGCTGGGACAGAAGTACAGCCGGGCTTATGTGGCTCACGCCTGTCATCCTAGCCACTCAGGAGGCTGAGATCTGAGGATTGTGGCTCGAAGCTAGCCCAGGCAGGAAAGTCCACAGGATGGACTTCCATTTACTAAAAAGCCGGGAATTTGAGCTGTGGCTAAAAGTGGTAGAGCTTTAGCCTTGAGCACAAAACCTCAGGGACAGTGCCCCAACCAACCCTTGGACTGGCATCAAAAAAACGCAAAACCTAAATCCAACAGTGTAAAAGGGGCTGGAAGCGTGGGCTCCTGAGTTCAAACACCAATAAACAGAAGGGAGAAGGGGAAGAAAAACAAAACTTTCCATCCTTTAGTTAAGTAAAAGAACCGATGGATAACATGGGACTACTATTACTATAACAGCCATTTCTCCCAAATCATAGACAACCTTTAGACTAGTCGAGACAATAAATTTTTCATCCAAATTCACTTTTTGCTACTGGAGTGACACATTGGGTTTTTCAAGGCTGAACTGCCATACCCTGGTCCTTACACGAAAACCTTTATAACACTTTTAAGAAACAAAGGAGGGCTAGGCACTGGTGGCTCACGCCTGTCATCCTAGCCACTCAGGAGGCTGAGATCTGAGGATAGCGGTTCAAAGCCAGACAGACTGGGCAGGAAAGTCCATGAGACTCTGATCTCCAATAAACCACTAGAAAACTGGAAGTGGCACTGTGGTTCAAGCAGTAGAGCGGTCACCTTGAGCTGAAGAGCACAAGGACAGCGCCCAAGCCCAGAGTTCAAACTCCATGACCGACAAAAAACAAAAGAGAGCTGGGAATGTGGCTCAGTGGTAGAGGGCTTGTCTGGCATGCACGAAGCCCTAGGTTTGATTCCTCAATGCCATATACACAGAAAAAGCCAGAAGTGGAACTCAAGTTCAAGTGGTAGAGTGCTATCCTTGAGCGAAAGCTAAAGGACAATGCCAGGCCCTGAGTTCAAGCCACAGGGCTGGCAAAAAGAGAGAGAGAAGGGGGGTGAGATATAAAGCATGTGAGAAATTAGAATTTGGGTAAACAGAAGGAAGTAGTGTGCTATCATTAAACAATGGTTACAATTATTTATCCTTAGGGAAGATACATTTCTAGACAGGATATAGGAACACAGCCTGACTGACACCCATCTACCACAGCCAGCACTCACTTCCTGCAATATTTTCAGAACAAACAAAATACTCTGTCGTAATCTGAGGGTGACAGGACATCCACTCTTGATCCTGCCTAAGAATGCTTGCATTAGTAATAACTAACTAAAACCACCTGCAATGTCTCATCAAACAGGAAAGTCTTGATCACAAGGGTGGAGTAAGTAGTATCTCCTCACCTGCCCTGCGACTCAGGAAGGAAGAAAGAAGTCTCCAGGGACACACAACACGCCCAGGTGACCGGCTCGAAGTGCATACAGGTCTACCAAGAAATCCTTTCCTTAGAAAGTAGATTCAGTGACCTTTCCAGAATTCTGATCCACACACCAAGGTACTGTTCTAAGTTCTTTGCAAGAAAATTAGTAACTGTTCAATAATTTCATTACATATGGACAATTATTTTCCCCTGCTAAACACACAAGGAAGTTAAGGCCTAAAAACAGTTTACCCAAAGGATGGGAATGTGGCTTAGTTGTAGAATGCTTGCCTAGCATGCACGTAGCCCTGGGTTTGATTCCTCAGTAACAAACAGAAAAGGCCGGAAGTGGTGTTCTGGCTGGGCTTGAGCAAAAGAAGCTCAGAGACAGTGCCCAGGCCCTGAGTTCAAGCCCAGAACTGGCACCAAAACAAAACAAAAGAGCTGGCAAGTAGCAATGACACACACACATATGTACTTCTTCTTTATGTTCTTTAATACCTTCTAAATTAGTCTGGTGATTAAATTGGTACTTTTAAAAAGCACCTTATAGGCAGGCGCCAATGGCTCTCAGGCCTGTACCACTATCTACTCAGGAGCAAAGATCTGAAGGTTGCAGTTAGAAGTCAGCATGGGCAGGTAAATAAACTACTGAAAAAAGCTGGTTAATGGCAGCATGGCTCAAGTGGTATAGCACTAACCTTGAGCATAATAAACAAGATCAGGGATGGCATCTAGGCCCCAAGTTCAAGCCCCAGGACCAGCAAAAAATAAAATAAAATTAGTAAGGTACCAATGGCTCACATCTGTAATCCTAGCTACTTAGGAGGCTGAGATGAGGACAGTGGTTCAAAGCCAGCCTGGGCAGGAAAGTCCATGGGACTCCCATCTCCAATTGACCACCACAAAAAGCTGAAAGTGGAGCTATGGCTCAAGTGGTACAGCACTAGTCTTGAGTACAAAAGCTCAAGGGCAGTACCCAGGCTCTGAGTGTGAGCCCCAGGACTAGCATAAAAAAAAAAAAAACTAAATCTATATTTAACATTTTAATATCTATATGAAACAAACTCAAGTAAATCTGAAAGCCAGAGATAAACTGATTACTTGGGTAAAGAACCAGTAGCCTTGTATTTGAAGACAGTTTGTAGAAATAAACATACCCTCAAACTATTCTGAGGGCTGGGAAGGTGGCTCAGTGGTAGAGCGCTTGCCTTGCATGCCTGAGGCCCTGAGTTCGATTCCTCAGCACCACATATACATAAGCAAAAAGAAAAAAGCCGGAAGTGGCGCTGTGGCTCAAATGGTAGAGCGCTAGCCTTGAGCTGAAGAGCTGAGGGACAGCACCCAGGCCCAGAGTTCAGGCCCCACGACCAGACCCAAAAAACAAAACAAAACAAAAAAACTATTCTGAATGAACAGCGACTTAAATTCTTGCACTGTATCAGCTCATATTTACTTACACATGTATATGTACATATATACATACATGTATGAGAACATGTACACAATGCTCTACAAGTAAGATAATGGCACTAGTTGTATCCATTTGCGGATTGCAAGTGAATTCTCATCTAATCTCCGCAATAGCTCTAGGGAGGACTTCATTATTGAAATTGAGACATAGTAACTTGTCCAAGATCCCACAAGGCCCAAGGTGACCCTGAGGATTCAAACCCATATCCCTGACTCTAAGGCCTCTTGATCTTGTCAGAGGCGGGAATCAGGTTGTTCCTGAGACAGACGACCCATGGGAGGCCGTGTCCAGTGAGGGCACCCACTTGCTGTTCCGTCCTGAGCACCGAGGGGTCTGCTGTCTCCAGGCTGGGGGGCTGAGGAGCCAGCTGTTCCTGAGTCAAGTAGCAAGGAAAGTTCCAGCACAAATGTGGCCTTGTTCTTCACTGTCAACTCTGAACTCTAGTATTCAAGTGTTCAACCCACAGAGAGCTGTGGAAGCAGACGCACGGTGCAATCCTGGCTTCCTTCTCTCCATGAGCTCCCCACACCAGCCACCACTCCACCCTCCAACGTCAGGTGACAACACGCCCTGCAGAGCTGCTGCCAGGCTCCCTAAGCCAGGGCAGCAGGCAAAGGCACAGGAATAGATCCAGAACTCAGCCTTGAGGAAGGAGTGATGGGCAAAGGTCTCTTTTTAATGTGAGAACCTTGACCCTGACCCACCTCACAAAGGGCAAAGTCACCCGGCACCAACTGCGCAGGGAAAGTGAGAAATGAAATGCTGACACCGGGCCTCTTTTTTAGTGGATCGAAACAGAGCTCTGTGTGTTACATTTCCTTTTCTTCTCACTCTCTATCCTAAGGGACAGCCTTACTCCTCATTATGCAAATGAGAAAAGCTGCAGATTCAAGTCACTTCAGAAAGAACAATTTAGCCTGTAGCTTTATGCAGGCTTTTTGTCTGTTCATGTGAAGTAACACATGCTCAGTCTGGGATAAGTATTTTTGGATTTACAAGCTGCTGCTTTCCTAGTGTCTTAAGGACGTAGAAATACTGCTTTAAAAGGTAGACTAGCCAGATGCTGGTGGCTCACGCCTGGAATCGTAGCTGCTCAGGAGGTTGAGATTTGAGGATCATGGTTCAAAGCCAGCCTGGGCAGGAAAAGCCTTGTTAGACTCTTACCTCCAATAAACCACTCAGAAAACTGGATGTGACTCTGTAGCTCAAGTAATAGAGCGCTTGCCTTGAGCTGAAGAGCTGAGGGACAGCACCCAGGCCCAGAGTTCAAGCCCCATGACCGATCAAAAAAAAAAAAAAAAGGTAGACTAAATGGCCCATGGTGGTGACCCTCCGCCCCCACCATGGTGCCATCACTCCAGAGGCAGAAGATGCCACGTTTGAGGCCCTGGAGGTCTCAAGCCCCCTGATCCTCCCACAAACGTAGGCTAAGAGCATCACAGCTTGGAGTCCACAGATACACACTCAACCTGAAACCTCCTGCATGGCGGGGAAGGTGTCTCAGTGGAGGAGTGCTGGCCTAGCATGCGTGAAGCCCTGGGTTTGATTCTCAGCACCACATACACAGAAAAACAGGAAGTGGCGCTGTGGCTCAAGTACCAGCCTTGAGCAAAAGCAGCTCAGGGAAAGTGCCCAGGCATAGGACTGGCCAAAAAAAAAAAAGAAACAAACAAACAAACTTCACGCATTCTCTTCACCCTTTACAAAAAAATAAAAGCAAGCTGGAAGCTGACTTCCATCCAGAGCCCAAAAAGTAAAGGAGACTTCAGACACAAGAAAGCAGTGAAAGAACACAAAACCAGAGATCTGCAATGCCTGCTTCATAGCCAAAACTTCAGTCATGTCTGGCTTTTAAGTTATAGATCGCCTTATGAATTAACAACTGAACAAGTCTCTATTGTATAGTGCATGTTATTCTGAAATAAAATGTCTCCAAGCGAAACAGGAAGGACATGAGCACAGCATGGCTCAGACTGCTGGGTCTGTAAGAAAATAATGACTGTTCTGCGCAGCGAATTCCGAAGATGCACAGGCATTAGTGAGTGCTCTAATGACCAGTGTCTGGCTCACCTGAGGTCATCAAGGTCTGCTGCACGGAGGGGCTGGTGGAGGCAGCGACGCTCATCTGGGAGAACAGGGCCTTCCTGGGATCCTGCCATGTTGTCGTCTGATCCATGTGACTGTGACAAACCAAACCACAGAGTCAGGGAGTAAATACTGTCTGTGTTAACCTAAAAACACTGGTCTAGCTAGGTCTGGGGACTCACACCTGTTGTCCCAACTAGTCAAACCTAGAGGAGGTCATGGTTTGAAGCCAGCCAGGGGAGAAATCTGAGAAGACTCCTGTCTCTATGAGATAGCAAAAGGCCTGCCTGGAAGCTCGGTTGACTCCTTAGCCCAGCAAGGCACTTCTCACCAGGCTCATTCAACACTGACCTCTTCTACCTTGTAAGTGCAAGCTGGGAAAAAAATTACACCTGGACTTTTCAGTGATAATATCTTATAGACCCATAAGACAGTAGCCCAAAGATAAAATGTAGGGTGAACAAATGCAGCAGTGGTACTCACTAGACACTATGTGGAAAATGAACTATACAGCTGGGCACCGGTGGCTCACGCCTGAGATCCCAGCTACTCAGGAGGCTGAGAGCTGAGGATCATGGTTCAAAGCCAGCATGGGCAACAAAGTCCACAAGATTCTGATCTCCAATAAGCAACCAGAAAACCAGAAGTGGTGCTGTGGTTCAAATGGTAGAGTGCTAGGCCTTGAGCTGAAGAGCTCAGGGACAGCACCCAGGCCCAGAGTTCAAAGCCCATGACCAAAAGAAAAGAAAATGAACTCTACAACTTGTGGGTGAGGAAGGGAGGGGGTGCATTGTCCAAAAAGAACTGCACTCGTAGCCAGGTGCCAGTGGCTCACGCCCATCATCCTACTCAAGAGGCTAAGATCTGAGGATCACGGTTCAAAGCCAGACCAGGCAGCAATAAACCACCAGAAAACCACAAGGGGAGCTGTGGCTCAAGTTGTAGAGCGCTCGCCTTGAGCTGAAGAGCTGAGGGACAGCGCCCAGGCCCAGAGTTCAAGCCCCACGACTGACAAAAAAAAAAAAAAAGACCTGCACTCATTACCTGCCTCATATAACTATAACCTCTGTACATCACCTTTATAATAAAACATTTTTAAAGATAAAAAGTAATCTTCAAATCAGCCATCTAAAAAAGAAAATCACAAAACCAACACTCAAAGACTTACAAACTTACAAGAGAACCATCTCCTTTTTTTATCTCCTGAAATACCAAATAACATCATTAAAATACATGACGTCCAAGTGGAGTTTCCGCCTTGGAGCAGGACTGGCGGGACATGGGCGTGAAGACGGTCTGCGTTCTGACTGTGCTGTGCTTGCCCTCAGCACACCACGGTGGCGTGAAGACGGTCTGCGTCCTGACTGTGCTGTGCTTGCCCTCAGCACACCACGGTGGCGTGAAGACGGTCTGCGTTCTGAGCTGTACTGTGCTTGCCCTCAGCACACCACGGTGGCGTGCGGGTGTGGGCAGCCCGCCCAGAGCCGCGCTCGCTCCGGGATCAGGCCCATGTTTGTTGTGCAAGTGCTATTTATAGAGTCACATGCTAGAGGCTGCTCCCAACCCAGCTAAACCTACATGCTTAATTGGCTCTAGGAACAAAGACACATTGTTCAATCTAATCCTGCTTGGAGCTACAGTTTCTATGCCAGAACCATATGCTTTCTACATCTGTATAAGTACCTCCACTTCGAATTACTATTTTTAGAAGTATCAAAAGATCAGAGCTATGCACAGGAGAATATCTTCATAAGGAGACAACAGTGTTTAGTCTGAGTGTTGCTGCAATGCCCAGCTTGGCCTAGAACTCACAGTCCTGACTCAGCCTCCCAAGTCCTGGGTGTACAGGCATGTACCACCATGCCTGGTTGGCAACCACTTCCTATCACCAGGAATCAAACTCTTAAATTCAAGTTTAACTGGGCTATCACTGAAGGCTATTAAAAATGAGCAAAAATTAGGAAGAAACACACTGGAAATTACACCTTTTGTTTCTTGTCCTAACAGAAAAGTCCAGAAAGCACTGCTATGCTGTATGTATTCAGGTGATTTCAAACATACAAGTACTTCTGGAAGATTCGTTGTAGATTCCAAGCTCCACATCAGATAGAAAAAGAGCTCAACGTGTTCAGTGATTACTAAACCTAACTAGATAGAAGAAAAGAAGAGCAATAAAAAACATGAGGCTAAGCTCAAACCCCAGCACCCCCAAAAGGAAAACGAGGAGGGAGAGAACACAGCTGGGCATCTTTGGTCCATTCCCATAATCAGGATCAGATCACCACTTGAGCCCAACCTGGGCATTGAAGTCTGAGATTCCACCTCTAAAATAACCAGCAAAAAGCAGGTCTGGGGATGTGGCTCAAGTGGTAGAGCACCAGCAGAGGAAGCAAGTCCAAGATCCTGAGTCAAACCGTAGCACTGACAAAAACAATCACAAAAAAGATGCTCCACAACCTATCATATCTGCTATCAAAGAATACAGAAGTTAATAAACATGGAAATGTATTTCACTGTTACAAGTATAAGCTAATGAAAAATGCTAGAAAGCAGCTGTGGAAATTAAGTATTGGGAGAGTGTAACTGCTGGAATGTAAAGTGGTACACTGTGGAGAACAAACCAAACATGCAACATGCAACAACATAAAACTACCACATGACCCGACAATCCCACTCCTGGAAGTTACTCACAATCATTGGAAGCAGAGGTTCAGCATAGACTGCTGTACTAATGTTCAAAGCAGCCTTCTTCACAATCGCCAAACATCCATTCACAACCCAAACATCCATCAACACAGACTGCTGTACTAATAATGTTCAAAGCAGCCTTCTTCACAATCGCCAAAGTTACAAACAACCCAAACATCCATCAGCAAATGAACAAACAAATCGTGGTGTGTGTGTGTGCGTTAAGGAGAACTTAGCCATAAACAGAATCCAAGATTATTACAGAAAATGACAGATATTGTATTATTCTACATACTTAAGTATCTGAGAAAGAACAAAAAAGAAAAGATGGTTACTAGGAGGTGGGGGAAATGAAGTAGGAACGGATTTCTATGTGGGATATTCTGAGAAGGCTACTAATGGTGGCTGGGAAAATGCCAATGAAGTGCATACGTTTAAATAACTTAAATGGTAATCTTGTGTACGCACATACTACATCTACAGGTAGCCTATCACAACTTTTTCTTTTCTTGGTGGTGTTAGGGTTTGAACTCAGGGCCTTGCCCTTGGTGGGCAGGCTCTCTACCCCTTGAGCCATACCCTGGACTTTTTTACTTTAGCTTTTTGCAGGTCCCGCCTGGACAATCCTGCCTTCCACCCACGAGGTAAGGTGAGATGTGCACATCACCACAGCCAGCTCTGCATTAGGAACTCTTTGCAGGGAGGTGCGCGATCAATCATGCAGACAAGCTGGTTTCATTGGTAAGCTATGATCTGGTGAGAAACCTTCTAAGCACATGCTTTTTTTTTTTTTCTTAATTTGGTCGGTCATGGGGCTTGAACTCTGGGCCTGGGCACTGTCTCTCAGCTCTTCAGTTCAAGGCGAGAGCTCTACCGCTTGAGCCACAGCACCACTCCCGGTTTTCTTGGTTTATTGGAGATAAGAGTCTCACGGACTTTCCTGCCGGGGCTGGCTTTGAACCGTGGTCCTCAGATCTCAGCCTCCGGAGTAGCTAGGATGGCAGGCGTGAGCCACCGGCGCCAGGCTCTAAGCATGCTTTTGAACTGCACGCTCACCCGTCCTCTGCCCGCCGGTTGACAGACTTGAGAGCATGGCTGTTTTTAACAGCAGGTGGAGGGACTAGTGGAAGGAAAACCAAGGACCCCATGCACCCCGTGCTGACTTTGTAAACACAGTGGCTCCCAGATCCGGGGCTGTTGGCAAGTACCCTTGGTTCCTCAGGACTTGTATGGAGTGAGGCAAGGGAATCCCTGGCAGGCAGGACAGAAGCAGAGCCACAAAGCCACAACAGCAGCAGCACCCTCGATGAGCAATCAGCAAGGAGACAGAAACACTCCCAATAGATACAGGCTTTCAGCTTACTTCCATGCAGAAGGCAAGTTTTAACTGACTTGGAGAACAGTGGACTTGGGTCCAAGTCAGGGCAGAACAGAGCTGTGGAGGATGAGCGCTGGGCGCCCGCCCACCGTGGAATCATTAAAACAGAGCAGGCCTGCCATTCCCGAGGCTGGGGTCTAGTCCAGGAGGGAGGGGACCAGGAGTCCAATCAAGTCAGTTTATCCTATATGTCACCCCATGCCACTAAAGCCTTGGTACAAATAATGACGAAAACAACAAGAACAATCATAAAATATATCTGTTCTTTTGATATTCCCATTTTTTCTAGTTCCTATCCTCTTTTAATAAACCTCTGATAAGTAGCTGAGCTCTGAGGACTGTGCTTCAAAGCTAAGCCTGCAGTAAAGTCTGAGATTCTTATGTCTAATAAGCTAGCAAAACTGTGGCTCTGGTGGCAGAGTGACAGCCTTCAGCAAAAAAGCTCAGGGACTGTACTCAGGGCCTGGGTCAAGCCCCAGTACCTACCCTCTATACACAGCAAACAATTATTTTTTTGTGTGTGGGGGGAGGGTCAGTCATGGGGCCTGAACTCTGGGCCTGGGTGCTGTCCCTCAGCTCTTCAGCTCAAGACTAGCACTACCACCTGAGCCACAGCGCACTTCTGGTTTTCTGGTGGTTTGTTGGAGATAAGAGTCTCACAGGCTTTCCTGCCTGGGCTGGCTTTGAACCAAGATCCTCAGATCTCAGCTTCCTGAGTAGCTAGGATGACAGGCATGAGCCACCGGCACCCGGCTCAAATCAAATTTTATAATGATCAGTGCTATGTAGCTACCCTAGATAAGACACCAATACAGTATGACAAAGACACTCCCTCCAGTGGGATCCTTGCACCCCCCACCCTAAGCCCACCAGGAGCCTGCAGGGGGCAGTGCTGAGTACAGGGGTGTAGGGAACTGAAGGAACCTAAGCCACTCAGGTGTAGCTGGTTCTCAGGGCCTGGGAATGTGGGCCCTCAGATCAATCAGCTAAGGCTCCACGTGTTTCTGGAGACATCAGCTGCTAGCT